GAGGAGAATTGGGACAAATGGCCTCAGCAACCCCACCTTCAGACCAGTTACTACAAACTGAGTGTGAAGCTTTGGATCCATTGGTATCCTGTCCTGAAGACACGTCAGAACAGGGGTCACAATTGCCGAAAGATCCACTCCAGCAATGGTCAACACTGCCTCTCCAAACACCAGTTACAGGTGTTATCCCTCCTGCCCCATCACTGCAACCTGATCCCTTGTCATTAACTGAAATTTCTTGCTGTCAGTCAGATGGCATTACTACACCAGATATAGAAAAGACACCGGCTATACATGAAGATGCAAAAATTTTGATTCCAGCTCCTTTAGAACAGGCTTTGGGAAAGGCACCAAGCCCATTAGGGCTGCAAGCAACTTTGACATTGAGTCCTTCTTTGAAACCAGCAGATGTCTCCGAATTTCAACTCGAAAATCCTGCTGTTGTTCAGTCAACTTCAGAAAAGCAATCAGATAGACTTTCAGCCTCAACAGAGAAGTTAACAACAATTACTGAAGACACAAATGTGAAATCAACAAATCTCATTCCATCTTTGACTGAAAAGTCACCAGCTGAGAAATCATCAGGGGCAGTTGATGCCAGAACTGAGGAGGCCAGCATTACTGTTGCAACTTCTGAAAAGAATAGTGAAAATGCAGATTGTAGTGGTGTTTTGTCATCTGCAGGTAGAGTTTTTGAAGACAAATCCACAACTTTGGTTCCAACCCCAATTGAGAAGGCACAAGTTGTAACAGAATCTACTGAAAAGTTGAAGTCAGAGATTGCATCATCCTCAGAAAAGGCATTATTAGATTGTGTAAACCAGTTGCAAAAATCATCTGAAGTTCCAGTTACTTCACCTCAGTCATGTTTGTCATTAGATGCTGCTCAAGTTCAAGAGCCTCAGTTGTTAAAACCATCCTCGTGTGCCTCTGAAGGTGGTATATTATCATTTTTAGATGCAGGAAAACAGCCAGCATCACTGCCTATCACATCACCAGATCAGTCATCACCGGTGCCTACTGTAATAACAGATCAGACATCATCACCTCATCCTTCATCTAAGAATTCTTCACCACCATCTTCTGTTACTCCTGTTGAGAAAGTAGGGTTACCATATTCTACTTCGGGCCAGGATTCATCTCTTCAGTTTGATTCATCTGGTGTACTTTCCAAAGAGGATGGATTACCTCAAGGTGGTTCAATCTCAAGTAGCAGCCAGGATGTCCGTGTGTGTTCCAGTGTTGAAAGTGGAAACCAGGATCATCTTAACGATGCAGTGGATGGTTGTGAATCTAATAAACGAACAGACTCTACTTTAAACATTGGGCTTGAGGGTGAAGGGTTTTCTTGTGGTAACAGAATCTTGGATGATTCTTCAGAAGTGGTAAACAGTGAGCAAGAAATGCAAATTGATGAACCAGATGACTGTTGGAATGATGTGGATTCTTCTCGTGAAGCAGCAATGGAAACTATGCCCTTAATTGTTGATACTCACACATTAAGACAAGATGATGTTGATCAGGGACATTCAACTGTTAATTCAAACAGTGAAGTGAATAGTAATTTTGTGTGTCCGTCAGTATTACCCACTCCACAAACTGGTGTGTCAAATGTTAACACTGTGCCATTATTGGAATCGGAGCCTCTCCAGCCAGTAACTATTGGCAGTAGTTTACAGCCTTTACAAGAAGTTCAAGAAGCCTCTGTGCTGGATGATCCGTCCTTTGCAGCTGAACTAACATTAATGGACAGTAGTGCTGATGAAGCAGACAGTATTGGGGGTTTAGTGATCAACAGTGTAATTGGTGCAGCTGATGGAGTAGTTGATTTCCATCCTGATGAGGATATGGAAACAGACAGAGAGCTGACTGATATTAGTGCTTCTGCACCACAGATAGTGGGAGGGGCTTGTGATAATGATTCTAGTGATGAAACAGGACCCAGTGCCAAGAGAATGAGATTTGAAAATGGAATTGGTGATTTAGATGATAAATTACAGGGTGCAAAGAAAGTTGTTTTTAAAGTTACGCCAGTGAAGAGTGGAGATGAGCTGTGGGATTCTCATAAACTTCATCAAGTTTTGTTAACGAATGGCACCATTTTGTTGCGGCTCCATGCATCAGCAGACAGTGTAGACATGTTTGAACCAGATAGCAATGACAAAGAAAATGAAAAGGTTGACTTTACAGGTATATTGTGCGAGGCCAAAGAGGAAGACCATGACCATATTCTTGGCCTTGCTAACCTAGAACCTGATGCTGATGTGTATGATCCTCTTGCAATAGGTTCAACTCATGCTGCTGATCACACATCTCCCCCACATTATATTCGGCCGTTCCCTCACTCCAGGGGTCGTTCTACAGCACTTCAACCGGCCATGTCAAGACCAGGATTCAGACATCTACAGTCACCTCCTCATGTAAGAATTAAATATATTTGTAATAGTTCAGTACTGCATGTGGAAGCTTTGTGTAATTAATCATTTTGGATTTTTATTATACTGTACTGTACAATTAAAGTTTATAATTTATTTTGTAGTAAAAGTGCATGGCAAGCTTGTGGGATGGTCAGGTTTATTTTACCTATTTATGTAACTTTATTTCTTTGTGATGTACTGTAATCTACAGTCTCTCCTCGACTTACGACAGGGTTCTGTCCCGACGACCAGGTCGTAAGTCGAAAAGGCGAAAATAATACATAAAAATTCTAAAATGGGTCTCTTTTTCTTCTCAGCACCACGAGAACTCTCAATTTTATGCTAGCCAGCCATTTTAAAGGGAATTGCAAACGAAAATTTTGTCACTACACAACGCGATCACTAACGTTGGGACTCGAAAATACATAATGTGAAAAATATTTTATACGACCACGGTCGTCGTATGTCCGGGTTGTCGTAAGTCGAATATGTTTTAAGTCGAGGAGAGACTGTATTGGGTAAATTGATTATAACATGTTGTAGTGCAAAAATCATATTACTATACAGTGCTGTAGCTTGATAATAATGCTATGAGTCATTGATGCTCACTGGTTTGTCATCCCTTATTATTCATTTCATGTAATGTGTCATCAGAAAATAAAAAAATTTTCTTAGTACAGTACAGTACAGTACTGTAATTTTTAGCATTTCTCTGCCTGTCTCTTAAGTGAGGGAGATGTGTAACATGCAAGTCCTTTAGAAACTTTGAGATAGACATGCGGGAAGCAATAATGTGCTTGTGAAGGACCAGAAAGCATGGCATTAAGTAATTTTGAGTGGTTATATGATGCATTTGTCTACAGCAACAGGGATAAACCAAATTACAGTAGAAGTCCAAAAATCCGGACTGCTTGGGGATTGGGTCGGTCCGGATTTTCCGGATTCTCAGGCAGTACTTTTAAAATTAAAATTTAAGGAGAAATAAAGAAGAGATGAGCAGGTACATTTTGATAGTTTATTCATTATCAAATAAAGCATGCTTCATTCATCAAAATGAGCAGTTTTAAAGAAAAATAAAGTCAACACTAGACAAAAATGTAAACAAACTGTCTAATACCATGATGAGTCTTGAAATTCCTAAGCCATCCATCACTAAATGCGCACTCTGATTCAATGTTCATTTGCTCCTTAAAAGACTTTGCTTTGGCAATAAGCATCGGCCCAGAAATTGCCATACCTTCTGATCGTTTGAACAAAAACCATTCGTGCAACACTTTATCAAGATTTTCTAATTTGGGCCAATATAAACTTTTTCTTTCAGCAATTTTAATGTAAGGCTCAGAAGAAGCTGTGAATTCTAGAATTTTATTCTTTGCCTTTTTTATATCATAAATTGTAGACTTTCCAATGTTGTATGTTTCCATTAGAACAGCATTGCTCACATTACATTCTAGTTTCTTAATTATTTCAAGTTTGTCACTCAATTCCAATGTGTTCTTCTTTTTCTTCACACAACGAAGTTTATCTACTTTAGGGGCCATTATTATGGGCTTGTACTCTGTACATGGAAAGAGTAGGACTCAAAATTACATACGTTGTCACAGTTTGATTGCTTGTTTTAAAGTGGCGATTGTGTGGTCGTTTGTTGTCGCTGTGCAGCTGTGGCATTCACGCATGCACACATACACACAAAAGATTTATAGTGCCTCAAATTTTACATTTCAGTTCAAGCTAATTACAAAACTAACAAAATTAGCTACCTATAATTTACAGTTAATTTTATTATTAGAATTATGTAAATTAATTTTTTAAAGCAACTCCATTCATTCACATAACCCACAAAAGCCTGCTAAATTTAAAAAGTTTGAGTTTTCGAAAAGTCCGGATTCTCGGGTGGTCCGGATTCCTGGCATCCGGATTTTTGGACTTTTACTGTAATATCTTTGGCCCTTTTGGAAGAGGATTTATTATTGCCAAATACATCTGGTGCAGCACTTAGGAGAAAGAATTACTGTTAAATTAGGGAGAGTTTATTTTTGCTCATAATTTTGATCACTTTGCATCGTAGTGAGAAAATGCTTGACTTTTCTCTTTATTCTTGTAATTTTTTCTCATCTTGCATAGTGACTAGAATTAAGAATATAACAGACACTTAGCATTCATTCACCTTCTCTAACTGTTGTAACTGGTTGTCATGCAGTCATAAGCATTCATGTACAGTATACTTAAATGACCTGACCTGACAGGCAAACAATTGGATACATGTACCATCCTATATTGTGTCACTTATCCATAATGTGTAACTTGGTATTCTTTTTCCCATGTGTGGGGTCTGGCCTATAGCTACTGAGAGGATTTTCAGGTTCCCTGAGGGATTTTCTGAAACTGTATGTCATAAGTTTTGTTATGGAAGTATGTTTGGACCTCTGAAGGTGGATAAGCACATAATGTTCTCAACCTAGGGGTTACAGTCAACCCTCACTTTACGCGGTTAATGTAACCCGCAAGGTCCCGCGGAAAGTGAGGAACGCGTAAAGTGAATAACATAACATATGGGATTAATTGAAATAGAGTCCGGGCCGA